CCATTCTTTTTAATGCCATTTATTGTATTTTCCTTATTTAGTCTTTTGTATAGGCTATATAATTCTGTACGTAGGCTTGTTCATATATATAAGAAATACAAAGTTATTTAATTTCTCTTCCATTCCTCTGATTATCATGGTTAACATGGTATCAAAGCAGTGTTTATGATCCAAAACCATTTGTGCTCATCATCTAGCAGAACCAGAAGCAATGTCGGAAGAAGATAACAATAACCTAGCCAACCAAATAGCTAATCTTCTCAAAAATGGAGTTCAAATCCAAACCCAGAGCCCAAAACCAAATCCCTCTGATAGCCTAAAAATTAGCCTCAATCTCACAAGCCAAAACTACCCTCTATAGGCTCGGATGATACGAGTCGCCATAGGGGGGAAATCGAAAGCTCTTTTAAACCATCTCACCCAAAACCCACCAGAACCCAGTGATGAACAGTGGGAACAAGATGATTTGATCGTCTTTTCATGGCTGATCCAAAATATCGAGCCGGCACTTGCTAGTAACTTAACGGAGTTCCCGACAGCAAAAACGCTATGGGACGCTCTTACGATTACGTATAGCAGCGGCAAAGACAAACTTCAAACTTTCGATCTCCACGTCAAAGCAAATGAGTTCAAGCAAAATGGCGTACCGTTAGAAGAATTCTGGATCGTGATGCAGGGTATCTGGGGAGAAATTGAACGGCGAGATCCAAACCCGATGAAGTGTTYTACCGACATCGCCACTTACAACAAAGTCAGGTCAGAAAATAAATTGTTTCAATTTCTCAATGCCCTTGATCGAAAGTATGATTCCCTTAAAAGAGAGATCCTCCGGTGGGATCCCTTGCCGTCGGCTGAAGCCGCATATGCTGCTGTCCGGAAAAGAAACAGCACATCAAAGTATTTTCAGGAACATACAACAAGGGGTGGCGTCGGGTCTGAACTCAACCAGTGATCTCGATGGGTTAGGGCTCGTTTCCAGAGGTCGCCGGTCAGACCAGAAATCCAATCCGTCATCATCCCGGATCGATAAAAGCAGATTGAAATGTGAGCACTGTGGCATGACCAAGCATACGAAAGAACAGTGTTTCAAACTCGTGGGGTACCCGGAATGGTGGGCCGACGGACACAAAAAAAGGAAAGATGGCAAGGCTGCTGTCGCCGTGGGCAATCAAGGGACCACCAGTAGCAGCGGTAGCAGCGACGACCACTCAAAACTCGCTGGAAATCAAGAGAGCACCGAAAAAGGAAACCATKGAGGGAGCTGCTGTTTTGCGGAAATTAAAGAAGAAGAACCAGGGGGYATCGCAGGTATAGGGTTTGAGAATTACACCTCAAACCCTTCACTCTCTCAACTTTCGCATTTACAACCCTATAGTTCCAATATGACAGTCATGTCAACAAATTTCTTTAATGTTGGGGAARTTAACATGGCAACAAARAATGAAAAAGATAAAAACTTATGGATATTTGATTGTGGTGCTACCGATACAATGACCTTTGAAATATCTGACATGTGCTCRATGTCAAAACCACAAAAATCAAGAATTCATACTGCAAATGGAGAAGGTCTCCAAGTAGAAGGAGGAGGGACCATTCAAATTTCAYCAAACATGAAATTGAAAAACTGTCTATATGTTCCATCCTTGTCTCATAAATTGCTATCGATCAGTCATGTTACAAAAGAACTAAATTGTGTTGTTCTAATGCATCCAACCTTCTGTATCTTACAGGACATCAGGACAGGGAAGATCATTGGGCGTGGTACTGAGCAGCAAGGACTATACTATGTGGATGAAGTGACTCGACAAGGTACTGTAATGCTAGGTCACGGATCTACAGATAGGGAGGCTTGGTTGTGGCACAGAAGATTGGGACACTCATCCAATGGGTACTTACATCGTTTATTTCCTGAATTATTCCCAACAAATAAAGTCTTGAATTGTGAGACATGTTTTTTGGCTAAGAGTCATAGACACACTTTCAAATCAAATGATACTAAGGTTGATTTTCCTTTTTTATTAATTCATTCGGATGTGTGGGGGCCAGCAAAAGTTGAGGGGGGACAAAATTTCCGTTATTTCGTAGCATTCATTGATGATTGCACCCGCATGACTTGGATTTATCTCTTGAAAAACAAATCCGAAGTTTGTTCAAAATTCACAATTTTTTGTGCCATGGTTAAAACCCAATTCAAAAGCGATATACAWATTCTTAGGTCCGATAATGGGGGGGAATTTGTTAATACTTCCATGAAACARCTTTGTCAAGAAAAGGGAATAATTCATCAAACCTCATGYGCTCACACCCCCGAACAAAACGGGGTATCTGAAAGAAAAAACCGCTTCCTTTTAGAAATAACTCGTGCGCTCATGATCGAATCCYAAGTTCCGAAATCTTTTTGGCCCGAAGCTCTTGTCACAGCAACCTATYTTGTGAACCGTCTCCCAACAAGAGCTCTTGACTTAAAAACCCCAATTCAAGCCYTGTCTAAWTTTCACAAACCTCCATCTACCCTTACCCTTGAACCTCGTGTCTTTGGTTGTTCTGTGTTTGTTCACATACCAAAATCAGAACGTTCCAAACTTGATGCATGTGCTGAGAAATGTGTGTTTGTCGGTTATGGAGTCAATCAACAAGGTTATCGATGTTACAGTCCGAACAAACGTCATATGTACACCACGATGAACTGTGACTTTCTYGAAACCGAATACTTCTACAATACCCAACACACTGGTCAGGGGGAAAAGGAGTATGATGACACATTGAGTTGGTTAAAATGGATGCCATCATCAGTAAAAATTAATCACGGAACCCAAACCACGTCACCATCCACGTCACAATCCACGAGTCCTGAAGACAGTACCACTAACGATGATCCTTCCAACCTGGCGTCAGAGGTAAGTAATTCTCAAACTCAAGAGCATGTTGATTCTCCCATTATCTCTGATTCTTCTACTAACTGTGAAACTCATGAGCATGCTGAAACTCCTGACTTACCTAACCATACGGCAGAACAGGAGTCATCACAGGTTGAACAAGCCGGATATGTTCTACCCCCAAGATCCAACAGAGGAGTTCCTCCAAAAAGATACTCTCCCGAGAAGGAAGCTCGAAGTTCTCGATATCCGATGGCAAACGTGGCAGCCGAAAATTTATCACCAGAAGCCCAGGCCTTTGCCACATCTCTATGTTCTGAAGAAATTCCAACTACAGTTGAACAAGCTCTTRAATCTAAGGACTGGAGAGAGGCAATGAAAATTGAAATGGATGCACTGAATAAAAATGACACATGGGAAAAATGTACCCTTCCTCCTGGAAAAAAACCAGTAGGATGTCGTTGGGTCTTCACTATAAAGTACAAGCCGGATGGAACCATTGAAAGATACAAAGCCCGACT